GGGACAGTTGGCTATGGGATAGGTGGCCGGAAGAAGTAAGCCAGATCGAACTCTGCACGCTTCAAAGGTATATCCCATCATAGCCACAGCAGCAACATGGGGTCATTCATGGGCAAGCAGACTGGTTTGAGGTCTCTGACAAGTTGGCAATGGGCCACGTCATAAACAAGTCCGGTCTTTTATCCCTTATTATGAATTCATCAGACAACTAACGTAGGGGAAGCCTGTCAAAATTTTATCTGGTATGTTTCCACGTACCAGGCATTTACAATACAGCGGCTGACCAGTTATCTACTCTACTCTTCAGTTTCAGGCGTTCAGGAGGTCCCCAACAACAGCCTCACCGATAGCCACGATTGCTCCCCAGCTCCAAGAATTACCTATGGAATAGAAGAGTTGCTAAGTAACAGCAGGAATTCACACAGTTGGCCCTCAAAGAAACACACACTGCTATGACAAAGTTTACTGCATATATCGAAGTTCATGTCAGATCACCACCTTACAAACTGGTTCAATTATACAACTTTAGGGGCTCTTCGCCACTTTTTTGCCACATCAAAATAAATGTCAAACAACACTATTAAGTTATATCTCCCGGGAATTCAACACCACATCTTTTCAGTTACAAACACCATTCTCAAACCGCCATTATACTTGTTGTAACGGAGCTCCCTGTACTCCGACCGAGTACCCTACGTTGATGGATGCTCCTAGCGCTTCCTGAGGACTCCAAACACTGCAGCCGACACCACAACCACCGCAGACTCCACAACCGCCGTAGCTTAACTGGAGTCTCGCCGTCTTCCTTCCACCCTGGATCAGATTCTGTCCTCCAGGACCGTGTGGGGAAGACCTCTCCTCTAGGAGAGCGTAACAGGAACAGCTCTTAAAAGAGCTAAGTGATTAAAAGCTTAGGGGAGTATGCAGAGCATAGCAATCCCCAGTGTGATATAGCAGTTCCCTCAAATAACGAGACAAGGCTACGTATTGAGGGTCAAGAAGATCTGATGTTTAATGGCACACACTCTGCTTTTATGAGATTCTGCCCATGCAAGGGAGACACCCACATAATTAGCAGTATAACCAATCGGAACAATATACATTCGGGGAAATTCCCATCCCTCAGATAATCACATAACATAATTAAAACAGAACAGTAAAAATACAGTTTTTATACATGTACTATAACTTCCAAACTACACATCCAATCTTCATAAAAATTACATATTTGGAATCAATCCATTAAGGGGAGCAACATATTAAAAAATGGCACAAATCAGACAAGGGGTTCAAAAGTTAGCAAAAGTGTCTTTTGGGGCCTGGCTGGCAGCATGGTTTTCTGGCCCAAACCGGTTTTACAGAGGCCTCTATCCTGGACAATGGGGAAAGTAATCCAATTATCCAGGGATAGAGGCAGACTCCATTAACCACATGTTAGCAAAAGACACAAAAAGACACAAAAATACATAACTCCTATTGAACTGAACAGAACCCCCACATTCAACCTATCCCCAGATGGCTTGGATCTGAGCGCTCAATATATCCAAACAGCGCTCAGATCCCACAAATACAGTCAAATCGCCATACACACTAGGTCCATAGTCATGGGGCAGAAGGCTGGCAATTAGGCTTCTCCATAACACAGGGAAGCAGGGCAATTTGTCAAATAAAATAACAGTTACAAATGGCAGTTTGTAACACTTGTCTTTTATGGTTTCCTACGACCCTGAGAATTTACCGTCACAGGGCAACATGATTCCAAGCATTGCTTACGGTATTGTAACCTGTACTAAAATACAGGATTTTTAAAAATAAAAAGATTGGTACAATTGTATAAAATAAATCAGGAATGAATACAATTAAAATTAGAAAGAGAGCAGCATCAAAACACCAACGAGCGACTAAATAGAGTTATTAACTCACAATAAACATAAGGTGTGTGCGCTCCCAAAAAATCTCAAACTAAAAAATGTAAATATATAGATATAAATCTTTTAATACACATCCAAAAATAAAATACAATAAATATAAAGGCTGTTTCACAATCTCCCTATTGGCTATACCCTAAAGACACACAAAATAACAACAAAGTATAATAACATAAAGTAAATACTGAGCACAGTAACCATATGCAACAAAGTTGCTAGATATAATTGGCTAAGAATATATCTAAGATTTATATATAAGAGCCTCAATAATATGGATAATGTGCAAAAGAAAATAAATATAACAGAATATTAAATCAAAATATATATCAAATAATAAACAAACATACAAAAAATATAAATAAGAAAAATAAATAGTACCTAACCTCGGTGTGGGCCCCCACCAGAGGTAGAAATAAAATCCAAATCAGGTGTAACCAAAAAAAGGAGAGAGACCCCCAGATGACACCAGAGAAAGGGCAAGGGCAAATGCACTGTATTACCACGGTCGGGATCTTCGAAAAAGACTGCGGTATTAATTAAATGAAAATGTAACAAGAGAGAACTGTGCAAACAAACTAGCTGCCCCAAATGAATGAACAAACCTTTCGTTGAAGCGCCGTGGTCGGAAGCTTCGCAAAAGACCGCGGCAGTCGACCAAACGAAGCAGGATGCCAGATACGGTGCAGAGTTGGAGACAACAGCCAGAGAAACAGCCAAAGCAGGTATGTATGTAGACCTTCATAAAGTTTCATAATTGAAACGAAACACGTAGATCTAAAGGCTTGGCACTCACCTTTAAAGTATAAAGACAAACCTTTACCCCGGTGCTGTCCACATTTAGTAAATAATCCAAAATAAAGAGGGTGTACTCCAGGGGATTTTTGTGAATAAACTCGTTATTTTTTATTGCATATTAGTAAAAAAAATCATTTCGACCCTTATGTGGACCTTTCTCAAGATCAATAAGTGAAGTGAATTCTCAAGAATTCCTTGAGAAGAACATGGTTATCAGCAAAAATCAGCATGGTTTTATGAAGCACAGGTCATGTCAAACTAACTTGATTGCGTTCTACGAAGAAGTAAGTAGAAGTATAGATCAGGGTGTTGCCGTGGATGTGATCTATTTGGATTTTGCCAAGGCATTTGATACAGTTCCACACAATAGATTTGTGTTCAAACTCAAGGAAATTGGTCTAGATGAAAATGCTTGTTCTTGGGTAGAACATTGGCTCAAAAACAGAGTACAAAGAGTTGTCATTAATGGTAAATTTTCAAGCTGGACAGAGGTGGCAAGTGGTGTCCCTCAGGGGTCTGTTCTGGGACCCATTCTATTTAACATGTATTGTCATGCATGAAAAAGGGCATTCATTCTCGGTACAAGAATATAATTTTGCCTCTTTATAAATCACTGGTAAGACCCCATATTGAATATGCTGTGCAATTTTGGGCACCCAAAGAAGGATATTATGGCACTAGAAAAAGTGCAGAGGCGGGCTACAAAATTAATAAAAGGAATGGAACATATCGGCTATGAAGAAAGGTTAACAAATTTAAACCTATTTAGTTTAGAAAAACGTCGCCTGAGAGGGGATATGATAACATTATACAAATATATTCGGGGCCAATACAAACCATTGTGTGGCAATCTATTTACAAACCGGACTTTACATAGGACACGAGGCCATGCGTTTAGACTGGAAGAAAGAAGATTTCGTCTAAGGCAAAGGAAAGGTTTTTTTACTGTAAGAACAATCAGGATGTGGAATTTTCTGCCTGAAGAAGTGGTTTTATCAGAGTTCATACAGATGTTCAAACGGCTACTAGATGCATACTTGCAAGAACAGAATATTCAAGGATATAATCTTTCAATGTAGGGTAATAACTGCTTGATCCAAGGATAAATCTGACTGCCATTCTGGGTCAAGAAGGAATTTTTTTCCTAGCTTGTTGCAAAATTGTGCTTCAAACTGGGTTTTTTTGCCTTCTTTTGGATCAACAGCAAAAAACAAATGTGAGGAAGGCTGAACTTGATGGACGCAAGTCTCTTTTAAGCTATGTAACTATGGACATACAATGAATATATACAGTGTAAAATAAAGTGACTTACCAATCCAAGTGATGCTCCGCCGTGTACCCGAACTCGGAAATGTTCATGTGGGACATGTGCCCCCCCCCCAACCTCCCGTGACGTGATGATGTGCAACGCCAAGCTTCATACTGTCTGTTGCTAAGTAACAAACTACCGAGTGACAGAAAAAAAGCTGTATGTGACCAGTACATGAAGAAGTGAATCAATGTAAAGTGTATATCTATATTATATAAACAGAATATGGAGGAAATAATGAGAAATATATATAGTAAGAAATAGAGTAATGTGCTGCCTCTATAGGTGGGAGCGTAAAATTGTGAACGAACAATATGAGCACCGTGAAATAGGTAAATGGTGATCAGAATGAAAAAAAGCCAAATAAAAATAAAACCAACTCCCATCAATCAGAGGCAGGCAAGATAACATCAAAACAATATGTATATAACACAACTTGTGCAGCAGTCGCCAATACTGCTGTATTAAAGATAAATAAATCATCTCAAAGGTAAATCAAGGAAGAATTTGAATACCAAGTATTAACCTTTAAATATACAATGTATGCATGCGAATATTCTTTTTATATAATATAGATATACACTTTACATTGATTCACTTCTTCACGCAGTGGTCGCATATAGCTTTTTTCCATCACTCATCGGTTGTTTCTTTGTTATTTAGCAACCGACAGTATGAAACTTAGTGTTACATGTCAGCACGTCAACACATCACGGAGGGTGGTGGTGGGGTGGGATCACGTGTCCTGCATGAACACTTCTGGGATTGAGTACACGGTGGAGCAGCACTTGGATTGGTAACTTACTTTATTTTACACTGTATATATTCATTCTATGTTCACTTTACTTATTGATCTTTCGAAAGACCCGCATAGGGGTCTAAACATCAATTGGGACAGTGTGTATTTTTTTGCTAATATGCAATAAAAAATGGCAAGTTTATTCACCAAAATCCATGGGTTCCTCCCTGTCCACTGGAGTTTTATGGATTACTTGGGTACAGCCAGAATGACAAGGCCGGTCGCTGAAGTTGGGCTTGTACTGTTACAGGATGGAGTCATCTTTTTCTGTAGGTACCAAAAATCTGCGGGAACCTGGAGCAGGCTTGGGAGTAGCTTTCTTGGAGGTAAGGCACCGAGAGTCCATCGCGGTTATAAATGACTCCCAGTCATCCAAGACAGCACTTTTCTCCTGCAGCTTCTGGTATGCCCAAACCTTCAGCCGTCCGGAAAGGAGATTAACAGCGGAGCGGACTTTGACAAAGTCGGTTGCGTAGGTCCTTGGTTTTAAAGCAAACAGGAGCTCACAATCTATAAAGCACTTCACTTATCAGTGAAAAGGAGTATCTTATTTTGGTTCTAATTTATGAAAGTGCCTATTTCTATGAAAAATAACCATTTTTATAATTATATTCTAAAACACCCCGCTTGTTGTCAGTCAGGCAGAGAGGTTCGTTTCTTCCTCTATTAGCTCCACTGAGCTAACAAAACTTGATTTCTAATTGTGCTAGAGGGCGCCTGCCATCCCAAACAGGTGCCAGTGAGTGCACATTCACAGGGTTCAGAGATCTTACCTGTCCTTCTGGCTCCTGCTTTCTTCTACTCAGCCACAACTACCTCCTTGCTATGCATGCACAACCTGTTAGAGTAGAATCAGAGGTTTTTTGGTTTTTTTTGATGAGAGCCTATGATTGGCCATTTCATAAATAAGGGGGTGATTGCAAAGGCTGCAGGTATAAGAACTGCAGCTTTTTCAAGCTCTTTCTAGATGTACCGCCAGTGCCAACATGTATAATTAAATGTGCACATGTTTTCTTTGCGGGTATATCTACTGAATAGCAATTTTTTTTTCTTTAAATTTTCATGTGGAGTCTTCCTTTAAATGAGAAGAGTTATGAAGGGCAGAGTGTGGTAACTAGAAACAAACTAATACACAAGCCTGTGTTTCATATTATAAATACACATTTTGGCTGTAGTGTGAAAACTATATAACAACTTGAAGAAAATGAGCAAAGTACTGATATAAAACATCTGTACTGTGTCAGGAATCCCCAATCCTATTTAGTCCATTATCTTTAGTGTTGAAAAAATGTATCATTCTGAACCTTTGCTTTCTTCTCCTTCATATTTTTAAAGTTTCCCTTGAGTATTTTGAGTGTAAGATCCTGAATAGAATGGTCTTTCTGTGTGGTATGGTGTCCAACTGGCATCCATTGATGATCTTCATGTTGTGTTCTAGAGTGTCTGTGTGTGTGTGTTCATTCCTATAATTATTTGATAGATGATTTCACCAATGGAACATCCCTGGTCACAGTTCTTGCATTCTGTCATGTATAGAACATCTCTTGATGTAGAGGAGAACGATTCCATCATGTTATATGTTTTACTGTTGTGTGGCCATGTGATTTGTGCAGATATGCTGACAACGTTTGCAGTGTGGTTTGTTTCAGGGCATGCAGGGTGTTGAACCAATTATCATTAATCATGTTATCTGCTGATATTTTTTCATAGGAGCCCTTAAACAGGTGGACGCAGGGGGTAATGTATTCCTAGGAGGTGTGAACAACGCTGATAACATTTTTTGCCTAAGCCAGGATCTCACTCTTTCCAAGGGGACATCTCTCCCTTTCATACTACTTGATGGAAGATTGAAGTATTATAGCTGTGGTCGTTATAGTTGCTGGGGAGTGAACAGCAACAATGATATATTTTATCGTCTGAACGTTAGTCCAAATGATTGCAAAGGCAGTGAATGGAGACAGGTGGATGGGAACATGATTATGGTGGAAGTTGCCACAGATGGATCAGTGTATGGAATCAACACCATTGGCAACGTATACAAAAGGTAAATCTTTTAGTAGCAATAATGAAATAGGGAATATATACATTAAATATAATTATGTATCAATTAGTGAACTAAGTCCCCCAATTACCTATTGATTAATTCCATTCAGGAGCTTAAATGCATAAAAAAAATGTAACATATATTAAAAATATCTGAAATTAATTTGCTTTTCAAGCATAGATTAAAAAACAAAAAAAAATATCATCAATGTATATTCATAGCTAGATACAAATGTGTTCATTGTATTCTGGACATGGCAGGATTGGTTGTAGGTTTAGTGTGTAGTGTCACCTAAAAGGTAATCCAGGCATGATGGAGTAGGAGTCTAGACAAAGATAATTATAATTAATAATTGTTCTTGTCTTTTTCCCACAGAGAAGGGATTTCTTTTTCAAACCCAGGTGGAACTGAGTGGGCTCTGTTGAATGTATACGGTCCCTTTAAGCATGTCTCATATGATAACGGAGTGCTATGGCTTCTTAATTCAGAAGGAAGTATCTTCAAATGTGACATCAACTATTATTCATAAGCATCAATTAACACATCGCCTTTCTATTACTATCACTGAATCTGTAATCCTCTACTGTCTACTAGAGATAACAAGCAAAGTAAATCCTCTGTGAGTCCATCTTCATTGTGAGCTTTTAATAGCAGTGATGAGATATTTGTCTGCTTTGGTGTGTGCGGGTTCTCAAATAAAACTATTGTAGAACTTTTAAAATGTCTATGATTTTCAAATAATCAGTAGAACATTGCTATCAATAAATGTATAAAATCAGCATCAATAAAATGTATGAGAACAATTTTTTGTATACACACACATGATGAAAAAGCAAGAAATTTGCCACCAAACAGTTATTAACCTAAAACATTAAAGGAACACTATAGGGTCAGGAACACAAACATTCCTGACCCTATAGTGAAAACCCACAATTTAGGTGGCTTGTCCCCCCCTTAGCCCCATCAGAAAAGTCACCTTATTTTCAGCTCTCCACAGGTCCGCCGGCACTGGTGACATCATCAGAATTGCAGGCAATTGGTCAATTATCTAAAAATAACTTAATATACAACTTATAATGAAAATGCCATTGGTGAGCAGTTAGAAATGCAATTGGAGAAAATTCTCCCTTCAGTAACAGCTCACCAATGGGAGTTTCATTATAAGTTGCATATTAAGTTAATTTTAGATAATTGACCAATTGCCTGACTTTGTTTCTCACATAGCACTCACTATTAACATTTCCTGGTTCGAGTTTACATATTGAGCAATATTTAATAAAGCTCTTCTATTATTATCCCGATACCAGTAATGTTAGATCCTTCTATATGGACATAAGGGTTTAACCTTACAAGGTTACTTTATTTACTTTATAGCACTTTTTTGCAGAATCTCTAAGGATATTTTCTTTGCTACTGGTTCTGTACTGTACACAATACTAAGTATTACTACTATTCATATCTCCAAGAAGTATTGAAGGTTCACTCTAGTTGTACCTTTTTATACTTTTTTTTGCATTGGTTTTCTAATACTATATAGGGTTATGCCCTGAGAGGCCCCTGGAGTCTCTCATTGGTGCCTGGATAATTGGAATAACTTGGACATAAGTACTTTGTATTGTGTCATGAGTTAGTTTCATTTATCATCCTGGCTTGGTTCATCATGTAGAATGGCATAGTTTATAAACAGTAACATTAATCTCATAGGCTATATCACAAGTGATATCAGTGTATAGCTATAGTGACCATTGGACCAAAGATAAATTCACAATAGGTAGCAGTATAATCAAAATGGGGAGTGCGCCACCTAGAGCTATGTACAATGAATCACATGATGCCCATTTTCCAGCAAGAACCATGGGTGTCCAGAGGATTTTTTCTGGGGCGGGGGGGTGGGGGGGGGAGAATTTTAATGACATCCAAGCTTGGCCCCTTTTTGACAGTGTCATGAAGGGGAGGGCATAGTCATTATCACATTAAGCCAGGGTGAATAGCGTTTTCACAACTATTGTGTCATGAATACATGTATGTATTCCTGACACTATAGTTTCCTTTAATCAAATTAAAGGAACATTGTATTCAACGTACCAACTTAATCTAAATGAAAATGCTATGATACCAGGAGGCCCCTTGGTGCTCTCTTTCCTTTAAGGGGTTAAATGGTTTAACCCCAAAGACTTCCTCCAGCTTCAGATCTCTAGGTTACTCAGTGGTATTCGGCTTTTGAAATGGAGTGTCAGGAAGTACAGACTGACGTCAGGCATGGGTGCCACTGATTGGCTAGATTCAGCTGATGCTCTAAGCCAAAAACTAGTTCTCGGTTCAAAAAAAAGTTTTACTTTATGAATGGGGAGCTACTGATTGGCTTAGAGTGCCAGCTGACCGCTCTAGGCAATCAGCGACACCCACACCCAACGGCACTCCATGCTTCCTGACACTCAGTAACTAAAAGACGCATTAACACTGAAATGTTTATCACCTGGGGAGATGAAAAGGTCCAAAGTTTCCCTGCCAGGCCCAGGTTCCTAAGCCTTATTATGTGGTGTCCATAATAAAGTGGAGGGATCACTTCACTTGTCCTTCTTGCTCCAATTTCCTTTTCTTCTTCATTTGACACAGTCTTCTTATTCTTCTGACACTGTCTTCTCTCCTCCTTGGCTTCTTATGCTCCTTTCTCTTTTTGATCCCTTTCTGCTTGTTCTCCTACTTTACCTTTGTGCTCCTTGCTGCCCCTTCCTGCTCCTTTCTGTTCCTTCCTTCTCCTTTCTGCTCCTTCTCCCACGTTACCTTTGAGCTCCTTCTGATTCTTTCTGCTCTTTTACCTTCCTTCTTCTTCTGTCCCTTTCTGCTCCTTGCAGATGCTTCCTGCTCCTTGCAGACCCCATTCTGTTCCTTGCTGCCCTTTCTGCCTCTTCATCTACTTTACCTTTGTGCTCCTTCTTATTCTTTCTGCTCCTTCTGTCCCTTCCTGTCTCTTCCTTCTCCTTGCAGACCCTTCTGGCTCCTTGCTGCCTCTTCCTGCTCTTTTCTGCCATTTCCTGCTCATTTCTATTCCTTTCTGCTCCTTCTCCTACTTTACCTCTGTGCTCCTTCTGATTTGTTCTGCTCCTTTACCTTTGTACTCCTTCTGTCCCTTCCTGCCCCTTACTTCTGTTTGCAGACCCTTCCTGCTCCTTGCGGTCCCTTCCTGCTCCTTGCAGACCCTTTCTGCTGCTTCTCCTACTTAGCCTTCTGCTCCTTCTTGTCAGGGTGGCGGTCCGGTGCCCGGGACCCAGACACTGTCCTGGTGGCGGTGCGAGGACCGGGACCCAGTATGCCTGATGTTCAGAGTAGGAGTCACAGTGTGGAGGTGGATTAGCAGGATCAGGTGCAGGGCAACCAAACGCCCTCTGGTGTTGAGCACCAGCGTTTGTGCGGCCACATACCAGAACCCTGATGCAGCTACAGCGGATCCCAGGAACTTTGAAGCTTGAAAGTAAGCAGACCTCCCATGAGCTGAATAGGGAGGCTCTGCAGCAAGAATGTATCCAGTACAGAAACAAGGCAAGACTAGAACAGGCACCAAACATGAAAACAAGACAGAACTAGTAGAACCCAGAACCAGAGAAGGATAGGAAGCTAAACCCAGAACATTAGAAAAAGAAAAATAGTAACGAGAGATCCTCACGTATCAAGACGAGAGGAATCCTCCCACTAACGCTACCCCTAAATAGATAAATAAATATACAGGCTAGTGTAACTAGAATAGACTTAAATAGGATATAGCACATATGAATTTAACATCCCAAAGAAAAAGAAAACAATAGAATTATACATTGGATAGTACCAGCAATCATTCACTATTGAATCAGTCAGTGAGAGCTTGGAAACAAAGTTACCACACTTGTAGCAAATATAATAGTTATTGGTGGAAACAATGTATCATATTGCACTCACAAGATAAATGATTACAAAAAAATGTGAATGATTAACAAGAAACCCCCCAAGTGGAGTCCACAGCAAGACAAAGAAGGGGCACCTCCACTGTAAATACCATCAATCTATATATAGGTGCCACAACTATTGAAAAAGACCGGCCGATCAGTATAGTATCTGGGCACGGCACTAAGAGTAAAACAAAACCTAAATACTAATAAACGTGATGCTAAAAAGTGAGTATAATAACATCAAGAAAGCCCAATGCGCGTTTCGGCAGACAAACTGCCTTTCTCAAGGGCATGGAATGCGACAAAAAATCCCCAGCTCACATTCACCTGTTATAAGGGTCATCTCTCCTCCTCCTACTAAATCATGAGGCATGGTTATGGGCAGTCCACCAATGAGAAATGTCTATCGCTCTCCCATTCAAATTGGGAGTGCTATGGTAGCCGCAAGGGTCCAGACCACAAAGTCCGCGCATGCGCGAGGACTTAGAAAAAGTATACATGCCGGCGGTGCAGGATGGGGAAAGTGTGTTGCGCTAGTCTGAGGCAGAATAAAGCTGCATACTCAGAGTATAAGCGCTGGAACCATCCGTTACTACAAGTACAACTAAATGTATAAAGTATTATACTTATTCAAAACCGACAATATATATACAGGCTCTCTCCAATTGCTCATTTCAGTCTGAACTACCAGAACATAAGTAAAATAAAAAAGAATTTATTTAGAACCCCATTAGTTCAACTCCATGAAGTGAGCATAGAGTAGCAAAAACCTAAACCGAGTGTAAAGTCCACTTAAACAAGGGAAATCAAGACTTGGCATACTAAATACAAGCCACAAGTGGGCAGTAATCTACTCAAATTTTAATCACGATTTAATATGCCTAGTAACGTAAATTATAAAGAACCAAATAACAGGCGGTCCCTAATCATTGCCAGTAGAGGAGGGGATGAAGAACAGGGAGGTAGGGGACAAAAACTCAAATAGTCAAACCAAAAACAAAAAATCTTTTAATTCAATCAAATAAAATAAGCCAAAACAATATATACAAGCGGTACAAAAAATATTGTTATAATAGTTATGGATGGCAGGTAAAATAAATAAATACTATATATGATCAAAAGAAGAAGGGATCCAGTACCATCTATTATCAATAATTAAATGAACGGTGCAAATGAAAAGCCTTCGTTCAAACCTAGAGGTTGGAGTGTCTTCAATTCATATATCCACCTAGACTCCCTCTGTCTCAAAATCTTATCAAAGTCTCCACGTCTTGGGTTTCTCTTAACTAGTTCTAGTCCACAGAATCGAAGATTATTTGAATCAACATGATGGTATTCTTTCAAATGTCTAGAGATAGGTGTCTCGAGGCAATTCCTGGGGGACCTTACGTGCTCCCTAATTCTATCCCTAAAAGCTCTAAAAGTTTTACCAACGTATTTTTGTCCACATGAACATGTCAACAAATAGACAAGGCCTTTTGTATTACAGTTAAAGAAACTCTTAATCTTAAAGGTACCTTGTCCTGTGGTATCACTCACTATCTTAGAGCTTTTAGAGATGTACTTACACGCTACGCACCTACCACACCCATATGTACCACAAGGAGGAGTACCCAACCAAGTGGGACGTACATGTGATTTCGTAGTAAAGTGGCTTGGTACCAACATATCTTGAAAATTACGTCCACGTCTGGCTGTGATATTAACTCGTGGACCTAAAACACCCTTAAGATGTACATCATTTAAAAGGATAGGCCAAAATCTATCGAGGGACTTCCGTACTTCTGCCCAACCTGCGTCAAATGTCGCAATCATTCGGATGGTTCCTATCTCCCCACTCTCTTTCTTTGCTGGATGCTCACATAATAGTTCC